CTGAGCTCAGGGCTTCCTCCTCTATAGGATGGAGGTATGTCCTCCATATTTACAACAACACTTTCCCTCTGCTCAGAAACTGCAACATGAAAAGTCTTCACATTTTGAAATTTGATATTGCAGTACCATAGGGCTCATCAAAATTATCACTTGCAAGAAGCCAACTCTGCAATTCTGATAGTCTTCATCCTGCAAGAACTTCAAGGATGACAACATGCATTACATGTAGGTCTAGTGTTACTGGAAAACTAACAGCATCAAAATAATAACATGAATATTACATTATATTAATTCTAGTGGACCAATGTAGGCTGTATGAGGTTTCTATGTTGTTTGATAAAGCATATCTTCTCACTCAAAATCAGCTGGAGCTAGGCTATCATTATTTACACATACTCGTCATACAAGCCTACGTTTAAGAGCCATTTGTAAACAGATGCAATGGCATTGACATGCCATCAATAACCATTTTGAAAAATTGATGCTATCCATAAAGATAAGACTTTTAAGGAAAGCTTTTCTACTACAATTCTACATATATGCATCAGACCCATCAAAGACAGTTAGACAGGTATAGTTAGCATGGCATTGGCTTCATGAACTTGGATTGGGTAGAAGCACAAATGAGAATAATACTCCTATTGTTGGAGCCTACACTTACACAAATGAGAATAATTACTAACCTCAAACGCAAATTTTGATGTTGAGAAAAGTTCTATACCTTTTGCAATGAAAAAGAGGTAAAATTCTAACAAGTGATAAGATATCAAATAATAATAATAATAATAATAATAATAATATGTAACCCTTACGCCTTGTTTGGTACATGGGAATCGAGTCAAGTGTGAAAGTAATGAAGTGAGGAATGGAATGGAATAAACGCGGGAATGGAATGCTAATTCTCATTCTCATGTTTATATGCAATTAGATAATGAAGTGAGAATGACAATGCTTTTATTTTTGGTACTGAGTAATTAATAAAAATAATGAAGGCACATTCGGAATTATTTAAATTTCTTGATTTCCACTTAAGTGGAAATGCTCATTCCCTGCCATCTCATTAGGAATGCTCATTCCCACATAAGGTGGAAATAAATGAGAAGTGGGAATGGACATTCTAGCTTCCAAAAGACTGTTGTGTTTGATAGGCATGAATGAGAAGTGGGAATGAGCATTCCATCTCCACACATTCCCGTGTACCAAACAAGGCATAATGGAAACAACTCCATCCGTCAGCATACTAGTCCGAGCATACAAGCAAGATTTAACCATTCCCAGAGTCTTAGTGGTACTAAGATGCAATCCCCCTCGAGCACTATGACAGTGTCTTAATTTAAATGGTAACTATATAACCGTCACTCGTGCATCGAGGATAATAGGGAAATATCGAGCCGGTCTCCACTATTCAAAGCATACTCTTCAGGAAGATATATAAGGTTGACGTGTATGTGAGAGGTTGGTTGGGTACTAACGTATGGGATAGGAGAGATATGGAATCTCTTCGAAGAAACCAAACATAGGGAGGTGTCCCTATTGCCCGTAGGATAGAAATAAAGCTACTTGGTTATGTAAGTGGTGTATAAGAGAATAGGAAGATCTCTTCAGAGCTCGGTGGTACATAGGTAAAAGGCGAAGGCTAGTGCTAAAGGGTTTGCACAAAGAGAGGCGTGTAAGGATTTCATGAGATCTTTTCTCCGGTGTTGAAACACACTTTTATTCGGTGCTATGAGTGAATTATTTTGGCTCAATGGTGATCTTGAGCTGGAACAACTCGATGATTAAATAACGGTCTTTCTTGCCAACGGAAAACTTGATGAAGAGTATCTACATAGCATCAACCTGGAGGCTTATACAGTAAGTTAAAGTGATAAGAGCATCATGTATGTTCGAACATTGGATGGAAGTTACACTTTATGGACTTAAAGCCTCTCCTCCGGCAGTGAAGAAACTAAAGCGTTGGAATCCTTCATTGCTGAGCAATGGGTTTTTATCCGAGCGATTATTATGTTGCGTTTACATTCGAAAGCTTCGTGGAGGTGATTAATATATTTATCTTCTTTGTATGTGGATAGATACAATGCTTATTGCTATCGAAAAACAAGGTAAGGAGGATATAGATACGCTTAGAAATCTATAACTCACAAAAAGAGTTCTGAGATGAGGACCATTGAGGCGCTAATGCATATAAGAAAATACTTAGGTATGGATGATCAGAATGAGAGCCTAGAGCGAATCGCACGATTGTATTCATTGATTCAAGAAAGGCCTACATAGCAGCGGCGTGACTGCGCGAGTTGCGGGGATGTAAGGTGCAAGTCCGAGGATGATGACGACGAAAAGTATAGGCGAATTATCCACATCTTTATAAACTTTCAGTAAACAATCTCGCCACACCCTACAGTACGCGAAGATGAAGTTGCTTTAAAACAACCTTGAGTGGCCTAATCTTGACCTACATCACACCTCGGGAAATAGAATCAACACCCTCACCAACTCCAATGTAGATGAAGCGGTCAGATTATCCACAATCACACCAATTGCTTAAAGCCTTGGTAAAACCAGTTCCTCCCAATTTTTCTCATATAATATATATTATATATATATATTATATATATAATATAACTAATATATATAGATTATATATAAGATAATAATGGTATCCTGTCATACAGGAGAATTCCTCCTTGACGCCACCGAAAATGATATGAGTTGATGAAGGGTCAAACGACGACGGTTACCCAAACTTGGTGCGTGGTGGTTGGGGTTTTAGAATATTATATCAAGGAACGAGCGATCGATCACAATGAATCCTCAATCAAATGTGATTTAGCACAGACACCTCTATAACAACACATAATCACAGTATAAATATAAAAATATATTAAATAATAAATATACTATATATATATATAAGCTACATAACCATAGCGAACAAGAAGAGACGAGAGAGAGACTTTTTACTTCAACGCATGATTAATGCGTGTTCTTTTATGTTTTTACCTTGGCAAGGATTCAATGTTTTAGTGGTAGCAATAAAATGGAATGTCAGTTAGCATCTGATAATAGTTGAACTACTAGGATGCCATTATATTTCCTGAGGTATTCAGATTTTTCTTCTATTCAAACAGAAGTTTTGAAAAAGAATTCAGCTTGACAAATTCTGTTTTGGTATAAGTTCACAAAGTGAAAGGATAGTTGCTACTACCAAGTGCTTCAACCATACATGTGAAGTTGTGGTAATTGTTATTTGTTAAGGTGAAACTACAATCAATCATTTGTTCTCCAAACAGTCAAGTCTACAACCAAGGCAAACATACGTAGATGATCTAGACACATGATATGCATACTATCTATTTGCTGATGGTCCAACCATAATAATCACAAAATTTCCAAGTCCAACATTTTTCCAGTTTCCATTATGATGCCAGGCACTATAAACATCAGCTCTTGAAGAGTAAATGAACTGGCTGACATAGTGTAAGAAATAGATGTTTAGGAAGTCTGTCTAACACAAAGCAATCAAAATACCATATCAACTTGGGCATAATAACAAATAAAATGTAACCACCTCCAAAATCCAAATAACACTTCCGCAATTCCTACGTAAAAGAGATGCCATTACCAGCTAAATGAAAAAGAAATTCATTTAAAACAAATAAGCAAATGGACAGAAAAATGAACAAAAATTGAAGGTGAAGCATAGCTCAATAAAAATAATATATGAAATTTGTGGAAATAAGTAAACAAGGAACACAAGTTGAAAGCAAAGCATAGCTCAATAAAGAATAATATATGAAGTTCATGGAAATAAGTGAACAAGGAAGATAAGCTTGGAATGGAAATCCAATATACCTTGCACAACAGCGAGACATGGAAAATATCCTACATTCCATCCAGCCCCCGTCCTGCTAAACCTCATGGTGACCCATGTCACCTATGACTTATGCCATATCTAAGCCACAACAAAAGTTCCACCCCTGTATAAGCTCAGGTATATGTTCTCAACTGTGGCCATTAACTGCTTTCTGTCGTGTAGTTGCAGAGATAATACCAGCAACAATAGGATGAAACATAAACGAGTTATGTTCGAAGCATTATTTCAAGAGACGATCTTGAGAATGGCAACATATGCCCTTGAACCTTGACAGAGCTTCGTGCTCTTCAGCCTTTAATGCTAGAGGCTGAGGAAGCATGGCTTTGAACATGCAATTGAGGAAGATGTTACTCTAATTCAAAAATAGTCCTCAGCCAAATAATCAGCTGAACTTGCTAAAATCTTCACATTACAGCCAGTCTCATGAGCTCCTGGTATAACATTTCTTACTCGGAGGATACCTATCAGCTAAGCACCCGTCATAAAGACCAAAATGAGTCAACAAACAGACTAGAAATCCAGATGCAAAAGCTGGAAGTGCCAATTCTTGATAAGTACAAGAGATTTCAATCCACATTATTCTTCTCGTCTATCATGCTGTCAACACTGGAATTCAAAACTTTTGATCTTTTAGTTAAGGATTTCCTCCTCTCCGCTTGAATATTGTGGATGTATTCAATGAGAATAGCACTAAATTTGGATGTAGGCCTGCTTGAAGAGCATAAGTTAACTCCAAACTTTTTCAAAGATTGTGAGACGTTCTTCTGAATTCTCTGAGAGTGTGCATGACAGAGAGAGGGCACTACTGCTCGAAGAATTGGCTTGCCACATGGCCCATTTTGCCCACTACTGAAAACCATAGACATCAAGATAAAAGAAAATCTGTTAATGAAAATAAATATGGTCAAAAGCAAAGCTCTGACAACTAATATTTACAATATAAAAACGTAAAAACATGAAGAACATATTAAATCCTGAAAATTAAAATTGAAGCCTGCTATTATCAGATGACAATGCTGAATAGATGCTATCTGAAGCAAATAAACTGGGAGTCGTAGAATTATCTCAATTCTGAACGTCATTCTCCACAAATACTTTGATTCCAACAATTCGCCAAAGAAGGCTTTTCTGTACATTGAACCAAGTGGCAATGATTTCCTTTGTAATGAAACTGAAACTAAGACTGAACTGATTACCAGTAAAAGTGAGCAGAATCACAGAACAAGACATTCGAATGCATGAGTAACTGAAAAAAAGCTGTTATATCAGGGTAAATTACCATTTTCCACTTATTCGTATCATAGTGGTAGGATAAACCAATGGACGATGCAACAATATATTGTACATAAAGACAAGCTTTTCTTCAAACAGAATAGGATAAACGGAACCTGACTCCCATTTAGTTATATGAGCAATGGAAAAAAGATGAGAAGCGATCATAAAGTTGACAAAGATCGTATATGGACAAAATGTACAAAAAGGTTCGTCCATTTCATCAAAGGTTAAAATAACAGACATAAGGCAGAAAGGTGTTGAAATTATTTGAAACCCAAACGGCAGCTTATGATAAATTTCTCAGAGAACCACATTCTTTGGAAATTAGGGGTGCAACATGAAGGGTATAATCATAACAAAAAGAAATCTACATCCCTTTGGAGGAACAAGTGCCGGTGGAAAGGGAACTCAAATTCACAAGTAGATATCAGAGGATACAAAAAATCTCTTGAAGCTTTACAAGAAAGGATAAAATATGACTTGAAAAAAAAGATTCCTTTCTTTAACTATTTAGAATTTAGAAATGACCCTAGTAGTAATTGTATTGTGAACAAAGACGACATTGCTTATGTTTTACCCTCAGGTTCCATCTAGTGTAGGGATTAGATGACTTTAAAAAGGCAAGAGTGAGAGCATAGGAGTTCACAAATATAGTTGCCATTTTAAAGAAGATATTTACGCAAATACCAACACTTCTGGAGGGTAAGCTTGGTTCCACGTTTTGGATGGTGGTAGTAACTGTAGCATTTTATATGGCCCATGACACCTGATGTTAAAAATGTACAACAATAAATAGCCTGAACCTTAACCTCTACAACCAAACAAGTCATACTACCTTTTTTTGGAAGAACTTTGCTGTCTGTACATTAGTTATTTATAGAATTTTAATTACAGATATTTACTTCGAAAATAAGCAAGCCTGGATATTTAATCAGTGCAGCAAGATCCTTCTATGAGTCAAAGTCAGTAAATTTCCCTTTGAATTCGTGAGAACTTGAGATGAAACTTTAAGAAGTTGTCAGCGTAAATTTTATGGCTGGAAAGGAATCCAGTATAGGCTTTAGTGGAGTCCAACATTATGGGTCATGCACACTGCACAATGCAGCGCACAGTCCCTTTACACACACACATGTGTGTAAGGTGCAATCCGATGCGAGCACCCAGGTGAAGCGAGCGCACGTTGCACACATAATTTTTCAAGATAGATTATCAAGCACCAAAGAACATGTTATGAATTTTCACATAAAAAGCAATGTCAAGATAACTAATATCTTACTACCAAATCAAAATATACTATCTTAATTCATAATGCAACACAACCAACATAGTAGAAAAGTTCATTTACAAATCAAAACTCAAATCAAGACTCGTATTGAAGCAAAATCAAATAGTAAAGGAGAATGAGTTAGGGTCCTCAATCGGGCTACCCAAATCCTAAGAGGCATATTTCTCTTTCCGGAACATGGATTAGTAGGTATAAAACCTAACTGAAATGTTAAAGAAATAAAAATAAATGAGGCTCTGCCTTGCATGCATCCTGTGCGAAGCGCCCTCGTGCAAGGTGCATGAGGCGCCGCACAACGAGGCGGTCGCATCAAACGCATGGCGCTTCACCAAATCATCAACTTTGGGGGAAAAACAATATTTACCAATTGAGTTATTTGCATATATATACCCTGTAAATCATGGGTATTCGCAAAATTACCCTTCATATCTTAGTATTTGCAAAACTACCCCAAATCATCAACTTTAGGGGGAAATCCCCTTAAAATCAACAATTTATCAGCTTGATGAGTAAAAAGTTCACTATTTGAGAATAAATTTAACACTGCAATTACAAAATACAAATTAGCCTATCACGACTGATTGATTTAGGGATTTTTTTCCCCAAAAATTAATGATCCAAAGGGTCGTTTTCCACATTTGAAATGAGACAGACGACTGGAGAAACCTAACAACTAAGGGCTTGTTTGGGTTGGGGATAATGAGGGGTAAGGGAAGTTAGGGGAATGTTTACCCTTGTTTGTGAATAAACTTAGGGCTTGTTTGGATTGAGGGGAATAAGGGTGAAGGGAACTTAGGGGAACAATTCACCTCCATTCACCTTGTTTGGGAACATTTAGGAGGTGAAGTTATTCACCCTAGTTCCCCTTGGTTCACCCCCTAGGGTACCGTTTGGCAAAGGGTTAAGTGAGGGGTTAAGGAGACTTAACCCCTTCTTAACCTGTCAAACACAACAAATCTATATAAGGGTTAAAGTGAGTTAACCCTCCATAATTTGTCAAACATAAAAAATATAGAAGGGTTAAGTTAACTCCTCTAGAGGGGTTAAAATGAGTTAACCCCTCAAAATGAGGGGTTTACTAATACTCCTATTTAGATGGAATAAGAGTTAACCCTTCTAATTATAAAGAAAATAGTCAAAATCATTGTTATTCCCAAACACTAAAACTGATCATAAGGGCTAAAATAAAACTTATTTAACGGGTTAATAATTTAGTCCTTCGGATTATCAAATGGGCTAAGTACATTAATCCTTCTCTTTAACCCCTCTTCATTAACCCTTTGCCAAACGGGACCTAATAGTGAACTATATTAGTTCCTTTATCCCCTTTAGATCATAACTAACTTAATCGTCAGAAGAATCACTGGAGAACCTAACTCCGGTTCTCTAACGTGTTGCATGCGTGTAGGATGCTCCTCCTATCAGGGAATCAGCCATCAAAGGAGGTCAAGGGACCCTGAGCTCATTAGAATCATCCTTGAATCCCGCTGTTACACATCCATACATCAACAGTTTAGCGCCCACCGTGAGGCTTTTTCATTTCTTTTTGAGGAAGTGGGCGATCCCCTGTCTTTGGACCTCAGAATTAGAAGTTGTCACCGCCACATCAATACTATAACATTCAATAAACTCCGCCAATGATTAAATAAAGAGGAAGTCTAAAGAAAAAGGTGGGATTGTCATAAAATGTAAAACATTTTGTAGGATACCTCCACAAAATGTAGTTAAATTGTAAAGACTCTTCTGTAGATAAAAAAATATTATATATTATGTGCTAACATGTAAGCAGCTCTTGCCACTCAATCTTCATCGACTTGGTAATGAAGACTCTAAGACATTAGTGTTATTCTCATGGATAAGCCCAAAACACGTACCCAAGACCTAGGTGTTGTTTCGAAGTAAACCCAAGGCGCGAAGTTCAATTTCACTCGGACTCGGCCACCCGAGTTCGAGTGAAAGGGGCTAGTATTGTGCCATAGAAATTAGCAAATGTTAATCATTGACACATGTATCAAGCAGACTACACACCAACTTGAACCAGATAGGCGACACGAAAGGCATCCATTCTCGCCAGCCTGAGACAAAAGGCGTTCATTCTCGAACCTTTCGCCGACAACCAGTCACCATCATATTAAATACGCGGTCGAAGACATCATTACACCTCCGTCGAAAGTCTTAATAACTAATTGGACCATGACAACACTTGGTACCCTCTGTCACCATCACATTAATCATAAAGGTGAGTCATGCTACCCACAGCCGACAACTATAAGTATCAGTCAAATAAGCTGACTACATGGGCTCAGCTGAAGTTACATAAGTCTAGGTATAAACATGCACATCGCCTACTGACCAAAAGTACATAATCTCTGCACACTTAGAAGGAACTATATCAGTTCATTGATCATCTTCAGAAATGACTAACTTAATCGTCTGAGGAATCACCGAAGGACCAACTCTGCCCCCCCTAACATGTTGCATGCATGCAAGACACTCCTCATATCGGGAGATCAACCATCAAAGGAAAATAAAAATAAATGAGGCTCTGCCTTGCATGCATCCTGTGCGAAGCGCCCTCGTGCAAGGTGCATGAGGCGCCGCACAACGAGGCGGTCGCATCAAACGCATGGCGCTTCACCAAATCATCAACTTTGGGGGAAAAACAATATTTACCAATTGAGTTATTTGCATATATATACCCTGTAAATCATGGGTATTCGCAAAATTACCCTTCATATCTTAGTATTTGCAAAACTACCCCAAATCATCAACTTTAGGGGGAAATCCCCTTAAAATCAACAATTTATCAGCTTGATGAGTAAAAAGTTCACTATTTGAGAATAAATTTAACACTGCAATTACAAAATACAAATTAGCCTATCACGACTGATTGATTTAGGGATTTTTTTCCCCAAAAATTAATGATCCAAAGGGTCGTTTTCCACATTTGAAATGAGACAGACGACTGGAGAAACCTAACAACTAAGGGCTTGTTTGGGTTGGGGATAATGAGGGGTAAGGGAAGTTAGGGGAATGTTTACCCTTGTTTGTGAATAAACTTAGGGCTTGTTTGGATTGAGGGGAATAAGGGTGAAGGGAACTTAGGGGAACAATTCACCTCCATTCACCTTGTTTGGGAACATTTAGGAGGTGAAGTTATTCACCCTAGTTCCCCTTGGTTCACCCCCTAGGGTACCGTTTGGCAAAGGGTTAAGTGAGGGGTTAAGGAGACTTAACCCCTTCTTAACCTGTCAAACACAACAAATCTATATAAGGGTTAAAGTGAGTTAACCCTCCATAATTTGTCAAACATAAAAAATATAGAAGGGTTAAGTTAACTCCTCTAGAGGGGTTAAAATGAGTTAACCCCTCAAAATGAGGGGTTTACTAATACTCCTATTTAGATGGAATAAGAGTTAACCCTTCTAATTATAAAGAAAATAGTCAAAATCATTGTTATTCCCAAACACTAAAACTGATCATAAGGGCTAAAATAAAACTTATTTAACGGGTTAATAATTTAGTCCTTCGGATTATCAAATGGGCTAAGTACATTAATCCTTCTCTTTAACCCCTCTTCATTAACCCTTTGCCAAACGGGACCTAATAGTATAAAATTTGTTACCCCCAAATTGGGGTGTAACCAAGGGGAAGGGAACTCCCTTCCCTTCCCTTCCATTCTCTCAACTTTCCCTCCTTTTCACTTTATTAAACTTTCCAAACGAGGTGAAAATAAGTTCCCCTTAATTCCCCTTACTAATTTCTCAAACAAGTTTTAAATGTTCTTTAAACAAAACCTAATAAGAGACTAAATAAGCAGTCCGTCATATTCTTTAAACAGAAAGAGAAGCCTACAGTTCAAGGATAAAGTCATAAGCTTGCCAATATTCGGAACATATAGCAGACCAAATCACATTGGCTCCACAGCAACCCACAAACAATTTCAAAAATTAATTAATCCAATACAAAAGAGTATAATTAAAAAGAAAAATAAAGACCAAATGGGAAGAAACCCAAACCTCTTGGTAACAAAAACGCATCTTTTATACAGCGTCTGATCAGGATCGGTCAAAATATGTTGATGGCAGAACCTCGTCAACGGCATCGCCTTCATTTTACACCCCCCACAAGCACATTTACTCCGAACCCTAACCCTAGTTTCGTCGCCAGCCTCCCCTAAACCCTCGTTATCCCGTCCATCGTCATCTCCATTCTCTTTCTCCAAGGGACTGCTCCCGTTGTCCCATAAGTATTTTCGATGCTTAGCCCTAATTTCCTCCATCATCACCCAGTACAGAGATCTGTAGCGCTTGTAGAGGGCCTTTGATCGATGAGATCGACGGCGGAGGACTTCTTCTCGAGAGAGGAGAGACGAGGTCGCAAGAGAAGAGGAGGTTTCCTCTTCGTTTGGGATTTGCGGAGAGGGGAGGAGAGCCGCCATGGCCGAGCTTTCTCTCTCTAACCCCTTCTCTCTCTCTCTCTCTCAAAAGATTTTGATTTTGTTTTTTTTTTTTCATAACGGAGAGGATTTTATCGGTGTTTAAAACCACGCTGATAGTTTTGGGAGTGAATGTTGAGGATGAAGATACACGTGGGTTATAGCGAGAGTGTGCTTTTTTAAGGGGGTGTGAGAATAGAGAGACTGTTTTTTATTCCTATAATAATTTGGAGCTGATCACGTGTTGCGTGTCGCGTTTCAAAATTCAAAACTCGGGTATGGTAACGGGTTCGGGTGGGCGTCGGCCGGATCGGCAATGCCTCAGGACCCGACCTGGACTTTAATGGGCTGGGCCTAAGCAGGTCTGACTTTTCTCGATGGCAGGCCCAGCCCAGCTCGGTTCGTGATTAAGTTTTGCATGAATTGAGCTCCTAGCCAATAATCTTTTTCGATAAATCCAGGCCATGGTCCATAGGCCAGAGACGGAATGAGCAGTGGACCTATAGCCCAAATGAAGTCCTTTAACTAGAACCCTTCAATAATCTTCTTTTTGCAAAAGTTGCTATCATCTCCTCGTCTGGATTTCACTTTCTCTACCTCTTCTTCTCATTTTCATCCTCGATCAGGGCTGTTTGGTTGACAAAAATGCAAGGAAAACTTTTATAGGAAACATATTTCCTATACTAGTCTCCTTTTCTTAGTTTGGTTTGCACATTAACACTAGAAAAAGAGTGAGGGTGAGATGAAGTATCACCATCTTATTGGATAATGTGACTCATTTTTAATAAAACTTATTTTCGGGCTTGTTTAGTTGAGTTTTCCCAAACAAGTGAAACAACAGAAAGTACAAAAATGTGGGACCCAATATCAGCTTTCTCAAATTTCATTAGTTTGTTTGCTATCTAACAACCGGCTAAAATGCTAAGCTGTCCGTCAAATGCTGATGGTGTCAAGGTAAAGAGCAAATCTTTTCATGGGAACCATTTTTAGTGGTTTCAATGAAAAAAACAAAACATCACCACTAAGGCCTACTCTTCCATCATTTTTAGCTCATTTCCTCTCAAAACAACTTAAAATAGGTTTTCAATTTCTGTGGGACCCACTGCATCATTAGCATCTCTGAGTTTGGGTCCATATACACTCTTACCTCTTCTTATTTGTTCCAACCAAACAAATGAAAAAGATACGTCCTCTAACCCTATTTCTCGAGATAGGCTGCGAACCAAACAACCCCTAAAATGGATGGATTTAGCTAGAAAGCTTACTTTGTTAGAAATAATTAATTAAAATAATAATAATTTCCTCAACAAAACCGTATTAAGGTTACCTGTTGCAATCCCTCTACCATCTCTTTCTTCTTCTTCTTCTTCACTGTTGTATTTGGACTTGGACCAGCGAACAAGAAGAAAAAGTGCTCTTCCTCTCTCACTCCTTATTCTCTAGAATCAAACCCTTGTGTCCCCAAACCCAGGGGCGTAGCCAGAACTTGTTTGCCCTAGGTAGCTGCCTAGGGCAAGAAACTCCACCTCTCCCACGACCTCTCCCTCCTCCCCTCGTTTCCTCTCCTCTCCCGCCACTTCACCTCCCTCTCCCACAAATCCAACCTCATCTCCCTCCTCTTCCAGGACCTCCATCTCAACAATCCTCATCCCTCCTCCCTCTCTCGCGCCTCTCTCCTCTCCCTTACGACATACTTATAGACCATCTTTATTTTTCACCCAAGGCAAAAAATAATCCTGGCTACGCCACTGCCCAAACTTTATCCTTAATCTCTTCCTCTCTCACTTAACTTCTTTTAAGGATTTAGCTTGCCTCCTCTGCCAAGCTTTTAGCTGAAATTGGGTCGTCAAAACCAAATGTTTACTAACAATTCCTTGAGCTTAGATCATTTTGTTGACACAGTTTTTTCCGTTGTACGAGA